CTTTTAGTCATAGACAATTATACTAATATTTATTTATTTGGTAGCAACCTGCACTTATATTTTTTATATTTGTGATTTTTTTTTCTTTTTTTTTAATGTTACCTTATATGATAATTAAATGTCAAACAAATCAAACTCAAAAATAGGATTTTATTTTTAAAAAATAATTATTTATTTCTTAATTCATCGATCATATCTTTCATCAAGAAAGAAAGAAGATCAAATATCATGAACTCGCATCCTAAACACGATCAAAATCCCAAATTATAAAAGAAAAGAGTATATCATGAATCCGCAGCATGCAAATCAAACCTAAATCATCACATTTTACATCTATCATCTTAATCCTACTACGATTCATGAATTCACCTTCCCATTAGAGCAATGACTTGTATTGGCGTGCAAAATTTTGTTCTGGCCTGTGGTGTTTGGAGAATTTTTACATTATGTTCTTTTTCCTAATTTATAGCGTTATTTTTAAAAAAAAATTGCTTAAATGACATAATAATTAGTTATCACCGATATCCCATTAATGTACTGATATTTCCTAAACAAAAAAATTTATTTATGCTATATTCTTTTTTTATCCACAAAAAAAAAATCTATGTCTATTATTACAGAAATTCAAACTGTTGATTTTGACTATATAATTAAGATTTTGAAATTAATAAATAATTAAGTATAACTCATTAAACTTTTCTTGTCAGTGCTATTTTTTTCTCTCTATTAAATCAATTCTCATTTTAAGGCAAATGTTCATGAGTTAAAAGGGAGAAGGGCAATCTCATCCTATTTACATTTTTTATATTGTAGTTGCCAAATCATGAAAATAATATGAAGATGATCATGTAAAATTTATATTTATGATAATCAATTACCAAAATTTGCTGCTAGCAATGTATAAGCCATGGAGCCAAGCCATTCTAATGCATCTTAATTATACCACATGAAACGCACAGAATTTAAATCATTATATCCATGGATTTTGGGGCCACTGTTTGCTGAAATCTTTACGCAAGGAACAACCCGGATTAACAAGAGTACCCTGGATGATTTTTTGGCTTTTTCAAATTATGTTCTAACCATACAGCAAAAGTGTCAATAGAAACGAATGAGTCTTGTATCTTTGTGTTTTTTAAGATATTGGAAGATAGAGGTTTGAACCTTTGATCTTAACCTACGATTAAACTCTTTAAATTAATGAATATCAACTTGATTAAACTCTTGTTAGCAGTCTTGCATCTTTGTGATTTGCTTCTTTGTAATCCATAGCCCAGATGTTAGCATACCCAAGTTCATCTTTTTGGTCACACAAACTAAAAAAATTGTGAACAACAAAGAAACAAATGGCTGAAACCTGAAGCAGAGAGCACCTTTTACCCTTTACAGATCTAAAGCAGCAAAGATGACCATATGAAACCTGACTCAGAACACATATTATATTAATATGATGTTTATAATTTTCCTTTTCCAGCTCTAAAGTTGCTAGATGACTATGTGTATGTGGCATGACTCAGAGCCCAATCATCTTAGGATGTTTATAATTTCGACCATCTTATCCCCATTCATGTCTTTTGTGATATAGGGTGTGCTACATCCTTAGACCCCAAAAAGATATTTATATTCTTCACTTTAACTTTTGCGGATGTTCCTGTTTCTGTTGGTATGCCTGCATGTGCACTTTCTTTTTCTTGCCATTTACACATAACTATGATTCTAGCTTTCTAAAGCTTTTTCTTTTTCATGTTTTCCATTCGCAAGGAAAGAATCATGTTCCTTGGGATGGCATTGGCACATAGAGAAGCTTGTGGAAAAGAGGGGGTGCAGCTTAGAATGATTGAACTGCTGAGGCAAAATCATGCCGATTAATTTTTTTGACCTCTCAAATGTCTCTTGCTTTTCTTCTGTAATTGTCGGGTATTCAAACTTTCAATGTTTCCTACTGTCAATAGAATCAATTTGTTTTCATCATGTCGACACTGATCCATATTTGGTTTTGGTAGAACCTTCCAACCGAAGCATCCCTTTTCTTTTTTTTTTTTAATTAAAAAAAAAAAAAAAACAGATACAAAGTGCTAAAGTTCAAGCTTTGAGATTAAAGCTGTGTTTATAATTAGTGTGAGGTATTATGACTGTAGTTATAATTGTGGTTATATTGAATTGTACTGTATTGTAATTATGCTTGAAAGTTATCTTGATATTTAGTTAATTATTTTTTAAAAATATTGTGAATGAAATATAATAAATTTTATTAATTATTAATTAAAATTTTAAAAATATTATATGATGTATAGTTACTAAAATAGATAATATTTA